TGTAAATTTCTGTTAGAAATCACAGGATCATCAAACATTTGGCATGTCAAGGGGGACGCTGGTGGGATTCAAGGGAGGAAAAAAAAGTCTGGGGATTTGAATTCGCTTCTCCCTTTGAACTGTTTCATTGAACCCAGGTGGTCAAATCTCCACCGTTTGTATGCATGTAATTATTTACAATTGTTGGGATTTGAGAGGGCACCCAATAAATAGCACCTCTTTTTTTCACTAGAGTTCTGAACTGTTCGTGAAGTAAAACAAAAGACTAGGCACAGGAAGACCGAAATGGAGCATCAGATTTTTACTCATTAATTGGATGCTGGAAAATGTAGCTTGTATCTTTGCTCTGGTAGATTTCTTGCTGTCAAATTTCCAACCCCAAAAATATTACTTCCCAATCACAGCAGCTCTGGACAGGCCTTTGTGGGATGTGTATGGAGGGGCAGCAGAACGTCCTCCTTGACAGCAGCCTCACTCCCAAGAGAAGAGAAAAGACAGAGGCTGGGCAGCACATACCCAGTTTCTCTTTCCAGATTTATCAGAATAAGAAAACCACTTCTCCCCTGGGGAGAGTAAGTCAGGGGACAAAGAGAAACCAGGTGTGAAGTGGGACCTCTCCCACGTAGACGGAATCGTCATGAGTAAGGAAGAAGCATTCTCTACCTTCACACTTTTGAAATTAATGTAATACTACCACTAATAACAGTAATGACAATAATAAGAACAAAAGTGACCATTTACAAAGTATTTGCTCTGATTCTGAACAGAATACCCTACGTCATTTAATCTTCACAGCAATACACAGAGATAATTTTATGATTATCTCTCTGCAAGAGGTGAGAAAACAGGCAGAGAGGTTGTGTAACTTGTCCAAGGACACACAGCTAGGAAGTGGTACAGCTAGTGCAGACGCAGCTTTGCCTGACTCCAGAGCCTGAGTTATGCCGCAGACTCTGCTCTACTGGTTGAACGAATAATGAAGTAAATGAATAAATGAGTGAGGTGAACTAGAGGATACTGTGTCTAGAAGTCTGGCCGTGTTGGGGAATCTGTGTGCAGCTTTGCTAGGTTTGGCAGCCAGCCCATCTTTCCCCCAGCTCAGAGGCTGGCCCTGAGGATTTTTCCCTAGAATGTTCTGCCCTGCCAGGCTGAACCAGGCCAAGAAGTACTCCAGCAGGTGGACCTTGGAGCTGGTCTTGCTGTCCCGGGAGCCCAGTGTCAGGGCGTGCCGGGAACAAGAGCCAGGGGGCTGCTTGTTCACTTGGCCACAACCATCCCCTTTGCTTGGTCTCTGACTTGCATTCTAGATTTCTCAGTGGCCTCAAAGCTCTGAATGCTTCCCAGATGGCCACTGACCTAAACACAGCTGGCCAGGGGAGCACTTAGACAACCCCTCCATGGGAGAGAGATCAACCCATCTCTGCCTGAGCTAGAAATCTGATTCACAGATCAGGGGCTGGGGAAGAGTGTAGCAACTGAGGCTGTCTTCAGGTCCCTGTCTCTGGTGGAATGTCCTCATCTCCTGTGCATATGGCCACCATATTTCCAGGCATCTCCTTCACCAACGGGCATTATAAAAAAAACCAGAGCCAAAAATCCAGAGCTTCTGAGATGCCCTGTTCCCTCACTCACTCTTTTTATTTATTTATTTTTTTTGAGATAGGGTCTCGCTCTGTCATGTGGGCTGGAGTGCAGTGACATGATCTCAGCTCACTGCAAACCCCACCTCCCGTGTTCAAGCCATTCTCCTGCCTCAGCCTCCTGAGTAGCTGGGATTACAGGTGCTTACTACCACACCTGGCTAATTTTTGTATTTTTAGTAGAGACAGGCTTTCATACTGTTGCCCAGTTTGGTCTTGAACTCCTGACCTCAAGTGATCTGCCCACCTCGGCTTCCCAGAGTGCCGGGATTATAGGCGGGAGCCAACACGAGGCCTCACTTGCTCTTAACACCAACCTGTGATTTATGATTTACATTTGAACGCCTGGAGCCGCAGCATAATCCATATCAGAGCTCCCTCCCTCCAGGTGAGGACCCGTTTCCTTCTCCAGGTACCCCCTTCCTACTCCCCCACATGACACATCAGCTTCTCCACCTCTTCCTTGTCCCCATGTCCCAACTGCTCCTGCACAGACTTCTGTTATCTTAATCTCTTTCTTTGGAAACTCCTGTCACTTGTAATCTTCCCCCGTTTCCTTCTCCTACCTCAGGCCCCCTTCGCCTTCTCAGCTTTCTTTTCAAAGATGCTGTATTTCTTTTTCTCCTTATTTGGAGTGATGTGACCTGACAGCGTGTTTGAAGTGGCATATTGGGGATAGAAATATGTGCCTGTTCCCTCTATAGATTTATGTGTGTGTGTGTTTTGTTTTTTGAATGGGGCTTTTGCAATCAATTTGTGGAGTCTAGCTGAAAGGGTAAGAAGTTTCCACTTAAAATCAACCTCCCCAAATGAAAATTTTTGGTACATTTTTTTTTCATTGTAATTGAGGTCTCCGTATGCCCCCCATGTATACGGTTTATTCTGGAAAAGTCTCCCCGAGAAAAGCCTGTCTAGTGCATTCCACTTCTACTTCAGCCTCAGAAAAATGGATTTCATAAACAGTAGAGGACATATTTGTCCTTTTGTCTTCTTTAGGATTTTCTCTCAGAGAAGTGATGTCAAAAGGAGATGCTTCTAATGGTGCCGAAGGTGGGGATGAGACTAAGCGAGTCAGGCCAGGGTCCATGTGTATTTGAATCTATCCAGGAGAGGTCTCTGTGGACATAAACGTCTATGGAACAAAACAAGACAAAACAACCTTGAAATATTAGCTGAGACCTAACTCCAAACCATCCTGTAAACCACAGCAGATCCAGGCTCTACTTCATGGAGATTGCCTTTTCTTAAGCTAAGTGGCCCTGAAGGAGTCTGGGGAGGATGCCAGTGACATCCCCACCCAGACCCTGTGATTTCGCTCATGCTGTTCCTGCCTGGTTTAAGAGGTAGTCCTTGATGCCACAATCAGCTGGGAAGTTGCTCTCACCTCTGCACATTTGTACCACTGATCTTACATCTTTTGCATGATACTTAAATTCTGATTGATACTCTAGGAGTTCTTGCATTTTTTTGTGATATTACCACGGGAGCTTTACTTTCTCAGACCCTGACATGAGAGTTTCACCCATGTTTGTCGAGAACGTGAGTTCTCTCTGGCAGCAGATGCGAGACCAGGAGAGCAGAGATGAGGACACATGACACAGCCCAAGTGGGTGTCTGTAGTTGTACTTAAGTGGCAGGGGATGGAGGAGCAACCAGGGAGATGGTGAAATACGATGTGTCCCGCATAATGTTTCTTCTTCCTGGGATTCCCCAAATCTTCAGTAAAGATAAAATTCCTGAAGCAAGAAGAATTTCTGTGGAATCAGAGAAGGCATTCACTCATGGGTTGGTGGCATTCCAGGTGACCCAGGAGTGGGTGGGCCAAAGAAACATGAAGAGCCCACCTGTCAGCTGCCTGCAGAGAGTGCAGCGAGGGCTTGATTCCCATGAAAGGTGAAGACTGTAGTTTCTCGTGAGTTCAATGCCATTTCTTTTGCAGGGTGGCTTGGGGGAACCCAGATGGGTTCTGGGTAGATTTCTCATCTTGTCTGAAAGATTCTTGGGGGAAGAGTGCTAAAATCCGTCCTTTTAGTTCCTCTGGTTCGAAGCCTAGCACAGCAATTGTTGATTTGAATTGAGATACTCTGAGGCAGGTGGCGATTTCTTTGCAGGGGAGCACTTGCTACCGGACAGTTTGTTTCTCCTACGTAGTATGACATAATGTGCTCTTTCTTCCATTTTTACATTGGATCCTCACAGTGAGCATGGATGATAGACTTTGTATACAGAGAAAGAAAATGGGACTCATGGAGGCTGAATGACTTCCTGAAGACCGCACAGCTAGAAATTTAGAGTTCCTTGCTGCAAATCTAGTGCTTGGTCAGTCTTCCACACCAGGCAGCCTCCTGAGCTCTTATAAATCAAGTCAGGTTGAACTGGGAGAATCTGGGAAGCCGGATTGCAGAGCCCTCTCTGTTAAGTCCCAAAGGAAAATGATATAGTTTGAGAGTATCAGCTGATGGTAGGACACTGTCTTCTTTCTGACGTTATCTTCATGGAACATTTTGATCATATAGAGATAAGAGAGAGTCCCAGAATGACGTCCAAAGGAATTTCAGGACCATAAAGCCTGGAACCATCAGAAAACATTAGCCATCTGGATCACTGAACAAGAGTACTCCTTTGAAATGTGAAGGATTCTTATATGGATGTCCACCCCACCCAGAAGGCCATCATTGTTGCTGGTAGGATGTAATCTACAATTTGTTGCCTTTACCACCATGTTATGCATTGATTCCTACATCAAGAGACACGTGGGGTATGTGTCATTTTCCTCCTCTTTACAAACGAGAAAAATGAGGCTCAGATTAAATTACTTGCCCACATTCATGCAGCTAGTAATGGAGAGATGTGGAATACAAAGCCATATTATTTCTTAATTCAAATGCTGTGTTCTCAGCCACGACGCTATCATGGCTCCAAGTAGACATTTGCTGATTGAATGGAGTTGAATCGCACTACAGGAGCGACTGTGGCTAAGAGCCAAATGTCTAGTACAGACAGAAATGTGCAGGAGTAGAGAGAAGGGTGGATTGCCGGGAGAAAGCGTGGTGCTGTCACACGGGACCGTTGGTGGCCTCGCCATTGGGTCAAGCAAGCAGTTGGTGCTGGGGAGTATGGGGAGGGCACACGGGCCTTCCCAGGCAGCTCGAGAAGGATGAGACCGTATAGGAAAACTGACTTAAGATGAACCCTGCCAAAAAGGGCTACTCCGTCACCAGCCTCGTCTGAGGTCATATTTCAAAGACTGGCTCGGGGCCACTGGCTGGGGTGCAGGGCTGTGAGATCATGGCTGAGCAATCTGACTTTTAAAAAATATAAGGACCAACTTGGGAGTTTTATCGCTGTTCTGCCGCCCAGGCATGAAGTCAGCTGGCCTGCTCTTGACAGGGAGCGTTTCACTTGTAATTAGCTGGGTGGTTTTTTTTTTTTTTTTTTTTTTTTTAAGTTCTGCCTAAACAGTGGTGGGGTGTGAGTGAGCCCGTTCCCTTGGAGCTGCCCCACAGCAGTAGCGGAGGTGAGTCATGGCCATAAAATCTGGAAAGCTCGTGGGGGGATGGAGGGCGGTGGAGAAATATAAATTATTGTGATCGTCTTTCAGGAGTGCTCGGGTTAATTATTGCACTTTCACCAGCTGCGTTGTGCCTTCATCCATGCCGAGCCAGAAGTGATGGTTTTAGTGGGGAAAGGGTCGTTCTCTAATGGGGCAGAGGCCTGCAAAGCCCTGTGTTCTTTTGAGGGAGGCTGGGTGCGTGAAATTCCCAGCACCAGCTGGAACCTGTGCGGATTTGCTCTGAGACACTTGGGTGTGAGCAGCGTCACGTTTTCTTTATTTTTCTTAAGCAAATAAATCTGGCTTGGCTCTCCACCTGCCAGGGCTGGCAGGCAACTCATTCTTAGTTATGTCTTTTTTGGTGGGGCAGCGGGGGGAGTGAGGGGTTCTTTCTTTCCTTTTTGAGGACATAAGGAAGCCCTGGGAATTAGGTAATTCAGCAAGATCTAAAGGCATGTTCCTGGCCTTGGATCCACTATGAAGGAATAATTGCTCATGGCCTGCAAAGTACCATTTCGAAGGGGGCTCCTGATCTTCCTCCATCCCAACCCTGGGCCAAGGGGTTCTTGGAGAGGCTCCCGCAGCTTGTTATCTTGTGTTCCCTCCAGGCCCAAGCCTCAGTATCCACTATCTGGTGCCACAGGTCTCTACCATCAGAGACTTTTAAACCAGCTTCTTCCCCAATCTCAAGGAAAACACATAACATCTCGGTATGGGTCACCTCTTCCTTCTCTTTCCTTTTTTAAATTGCCTGTTGCTTATTTTTCACTTGAGGACAGGGTCTTGCTCTGTTGCCCATGCTGGAGTGCAGTGGTGCAATCTTGGTTCACTGCAGCCTCAACCTCCTGGGCTTAAGCGATCCTCCCACCTCAGCCTCCTGGGTAGCTGGGACTATAGGCATGTGCCACCACAATTGGCCTTTTTTTTTTTTTTTTTTTTTTTTTTAAAGAGATGGGTCTCAGTATGTTGCCCAGGCTTGTCTTAAACTCCTGGCCGCAAGATGGTCCTCCCACCTCAAACTCCCAAAGTGCTGGGATTACTGGTGAGACACTGTGCCTCACCACACCTCCCCTCACAGGTGAGAGCCACCTCCCCTCATCTGAGAGAAAGAGAAAGAAACAAAGAGGAGAAAAGAAAGAAAAAGACCAAACCAAATCAAACACGCAAAAACAGAAGTTATGTTAATTTTCTTCCTTGGCTATTTGTTCAGAAAAGGAGAAAATGACTTTTTAATTCTTTGTATCTCCTCTGGCAAGGAAAAGGTAGAACCACTTCTCCATGTGTTTATCATCACTCCAGCTGGGTGACCTGGAGCAAAAGACTGACATATTTTAAGGATTAAGTGACATGTCTGATGTCAGGCAGTTAGTATAGAGCCTGACCTGGAGTTGGCTATCAGAACACGGTTATTGGTGGAGGACTGGGAGCTCTGTGAAGGTGACTATTTCTTCTCCATCCTTGAGGACAGGAGCTGTAGTTTGCTTATCCCTGTATCCTCAGCAACTGGGCACCCAGTAGGCATCCAAAAATACTTGGTTAACTGGATATTTGTAAAAGGTGGAGATTTCAGAGAGGCTGAGAAGACCAAGCTTCCTTTACCAACCCAGGCCATGTCCATAGTAGACCCATGCATGCACAACGTGTGACACAGTGGTGTCAAGACGTAATCTGATGAGGAGGACTACAGATTTAGTATTACTCACTCTGAATACCAAAATCCTGACTATAAGAGATAGGGTAACTTGAGCATTTTCTGTGTCTTAACAAGAGCGTGTTTCCCCATTGACCAGCCTTTATTAGGGCCATTTCTGGGGCTTTCTCTCCCATCCTACCTGTGGTTTCTGTGAGGTTTATCTGTCTCAGGTCATGGAAAAAATGGGGGTATGCTAGAAGGAGAGTTTGATGGGGCTCAGACAAATCCCAAGTCATAGCAGATGACTTTCTTCTGTAGGATCAATGGACAATTCACAGGTGCGGTACAGGTGTGTATAGCTAAGCTGGCTTCTTTACCCAGTTGGTTTGGAGTGCTCGTTTATATGGTAGGCTATAGCCTGCAGGCAGTGGTGGGAGGCCTTCCAGGTACTGACTGGCAGATTCCTATGGCTTCCCCACTCTCCCTATTTAAGCCAGTTTTGGTCCTTTTCATTCTAGTGCTCCCTGCCAAATTCCCATCTCCTGCAATGTCACACTTCTGGTCTAGTTGTTCCCCTGCCAGACCAGGTGCCCCTGACGCAGGAGTGAGCTTGTCTTTCCTCCCATGCTCTTTCTAGTTTTATGGGTATAGCTTAAACTCTGCACTTTTCTGCCCTAAAGCCTTCCTTTTTGAATCTTAAGAAACTATTTTGGAAATGAAAAAAATCACCCAGTTTCTGCTTTGTCAGTCCCACGTCTTCCCAAGGCCAGCGATGCTCAGACTGACCAGGTGAAGGATATAAGAGTGAAAATGAGAAAAAGAACAGCACCCAGTATATCCTTGCGGTACGGATAGGCCTATATCCTGATACCTGAAGGAATTCTTCCACTGGGAACTTTATGAAAAGGGCTGAAGAATTTGCAAAAAAGAACTTGGCTGACCCACTATTAAAAGAAAGCAATCTGAATTATGATGCATATTGAGTACTGGTGAATGATGGACAGAGGAGTCACTGCACACTCATATTTAGGATACTCTGATTTGATTCACAATCATACCATCAATTATACCGTTACTTAATCCTGTATCTGACATGGGAGGAGATATGACCCGTGTGTGTTGAGGGGAAGGTGGGAGAAGGTCAGAGAAGATCTGTTTAAAGAAACAACAGCTAGGCCGGGTGTGGTGGCTCACACCTGTAATCCCAGCACTTTGGGAGGCAGAGGTGGGTGGATCACCTGAGGTCAAGGGTTCAAGACCAGCCTGATCAACATGGTGAAACCCCACCTCTACTAAAAATACAAAAATTAGCCAGGTGTGGTGGCGTGCACCTGTAATCCCAGCTGCTCAGGAGGCTGAGGTAGGAGAATCACTTGAACCTGGGAGGCGGAGGTTGCAGTGAGCAGAGATCGTGCCATTGCACTCCAGCCTGGGTGACAGAGCAAGACTCTGTCTCAAAAAAAAACCAAAAAACAAACAAACAAACAAAAACAACTACAGTTAAGCAATGACTCAAATGACTTGAGTTAGGGAGGCAGAGGACAGTAGGGAAAAGAGGATTCCACGCAGGCATGCAAAAGCCCAAGACAAGCTTGAACTATCAATGGCTGATGTGGCTACAGTGGTGGGAGCAGGTCAGGAGGGACGGGGGACAAGGAGGAAAGACAGTTAAGTGTCCTGGACTGGGAACACTTCAAATTCTTTTTAGAGCTAATGAGAAGCAATTGGGCAGGGCTGAGGGGGACAGAGATATGGTCTGATTTACAACGTTAAGTTATGAAACTACGAGAAGTTTCCTGAATCACAGAGGCCAGAGGCCAAAAACCATTTGCTCCAGAGACCTCATAAAACTGAAGGCAGAAATTTTTGTCAGCTTGAGGGATGGCTTGAGGTCACCTTATTTTGCTACCTTGCAATGGTGGCTGGGAGAAGGGAGACAGTCTTTGCTGAGAGCCTATTCCATATTAATCATGATAAGTGGAGAAAAATAGCTGATAAAATAATTCTTTCAAAGTCTATGCATATTAATAGAGGCACTGGGGAGAGAGCGGTGCCGACTTTATAGGATGAATATCTGATGGCAGGATTTCGGACAAAGTGGTACTTGGTAAAAAGTAAAGTAATCTTTAGGCTAGGGGCCTTCCTAAATCTCTGAAATAAAAAGGTGAAGGCGACCAAGTGACATTTTATTGATACAGATTGATAATGGAAGAGGAAGTTAACTCTTTCTGTGTACCTAGTATGCACTTGACCTGAGTTACGTGCACTAGTGATATCTCATGGAATCCTCACAAGAAATAGTTGGGTGAAGTTTATTTAATACCTAATGAGAAGTATTTGGTGATAATAGAGAAGTCACAGCTTTTTACAGAAGAAGACTGAAACTTGGGGCAGTTGAGTACGTTGCTCAGGTGACACAGTGCCCATGAGGCAGAGCCTAGACCCCGCTCAGGTTTAGGGGACTTTTCAAGGCCCCCTTCCCACTTCTCAATCTGCTGGTGACTGATTTTGTTTCTCAGAAGCACCCCACCCTCAGGGTTTCAGAACGCCTTCTTTCTGCTCCTGTCTCTACCTTTCTTCTTTGGTGGCTGCTTCCTCCATTCCCAGTGGGAACGAAGTATCCAGGAGACCCATGGGAGCATGGGAGAGATTGGGCTGGAACATCTAGATGGTGGAGACCCTTGGAAACCTTGGGAGAAAGGGATCTCTTGGGCCACCCCCACCAACTCTTTGTACTAAATATTCATGAAATCCCAGAAGCTGACCCAAGGGACCCTGGCCTCTTACCATCACTATTCAGAAGCTCTCTTGTTCACGGCCACATTATGACTTCTGTGAATTTGAGGGCCCCTTCCTTCAAGTAAGCATATGAAAATAATTTAATAGATCATTGGGGGCCCTAAACATTTCATTTTTTTTCTGATGAGAAAAAGAAAATTAAAACATTTAATTCAATTCTATCAGTTCATTTATCTTTCCTTCGGATTTTAAGGAAATGAAAACATTTTGTGGGCCCTTAAAAGTATGGGAGTCCCTAGGTACTGTGCCCACCTGCCTGATGGAGAGGTCATCTCAGTGCTCATGGATTAGGAGAAGACATCAAAAGTCTGGCAGAACCTGCTTGGGGGCTTTACTGTCCTGGTGCCTAGATGCAACTTCCCTTAGTTGAGACTAAGGTGACTGTGAAGAAGCTGTGGCAAAGGCGGAAGCCAGGGTAAGGTCAGCCTGGACTTTACAGAGCCGGTGGAAGCCTTGTCTCTGGTTCTCACACATCCTACTATCTGCATGCATGGTTTCCTCATCTGGACTTCCCTCCCTCAGTTGTTCATTG